GGCGAAGTTATATTCATTGCTACACAAAAACAAATGTTGCTACTATGCTCAGCGTAGTCGATTACCTATAGTCCATGGCATTTTGAGATTCCCAGAGATGTCTGCTCGTAGATAGACACGTGCTCGAGGAAAGCAAGCCCTGACCGAACGACGATAGCTAAAGAGCCGGGATTTGCATAATTTTGTAGAGTAACGTCGGAACTATCTACGCATGCAAAAAAATTACTAACATTGTATGTTAGTTTTCTGAGAACGGAGCTGATTTTCCTGATCAAGTCTTGGCTATTGAACAGCGAAAATCGCAGGTCTCTATCTCATTCCTATCAAAAGTTATTCAAAAAGCAACCAGCGGTCTGACCATTTGGAACGGATAGTAGTTACATGTATCTCTAAAATCAAATCTGTTAGGGACGTATAATGACAATGAGTTTCATGTCTTATACTGGTTTTTTAACAGATTTCTTCTCGAAATGTTCTGTCTTGTGCTTTTTATCCATTTTTTCTTTTTATTTATACATTATGTATTATAGATTATTTATTTGTAAGAAGAAAAGTGAAGAAAGGAATAAACTGTACGATACAAATATCTTCATGTAAATTATTTTTTCTGTTTTTCTTTACTTATTTTTCTCTTGTAACAAATTAATGTTAGTATTGTTGACCTTTTTGAGAGCAATAAAATTCTCTAAGATGTAAAAGATTTTTTTTACCGAGCTAAGCATCTAGACAGCATTTGTCAGCTTTGGTTAGATCACATTTAGAGGTGCATTGACCTCAACATTCTGTTAAAACAGTTGAGAGAGAAACATGTAAGAAAGCTTGTTTGTCTAAATCTCTAAAGAAATTCAAGTAAAAAAGAAATGAAATGTTTCGTAAATTGAAACGTAATTCTATCTCAAGTTCCATCAGCATCAAAGTTCCTATGATAAAGCAAAATTTGAGCTATTCAGTAAACATTTTGGGAATTCTTTTTTGTGAATGTAGCGTAGCTGCAGGTATATTTTTTTTACCTTTTAATTAGGTGAACCATAATATACTTTTACATAAACTTACTGAAGATGGGATTAGAGGATGTCTAGGTGACTTACTAAAGTCGTACTTATCCAATCGTATCCAGTGGGTAAAAATAAATAATAGTCTCTCTGATTTCATCACAGCCATTTCACGGGTGTCGCAAGGTCTAATCTAGACCCTGCTTTTTCTTATTTATATTAATGAAATCGCTGATACATTAGATTCTACGACAATCTCTTCTCTTTTTATTGATGATTTATTTGTGTACTACTATTTATGAATGACAATTTAATACTCATGAGAGAGGAAGTAAACAAAATGAAAGAGTGGTGTGATAGGCATTTGTTTGAGCTAAATACAGAGAAATGCGAATGGCTTATTTTCCATCAATCTCCTACTTTTCTATTCCCAGTTATATTAAAGCTTGGCGATGAAACTTTGGATAGTGTCAGTAATAAAATTGTTAGGACTTTATATTTTGCATAACTTGAAATGGGCGTATCATATTGAGCAGACAGCATTGAGATGTCCAGAAATGCTTGATACTATTCATCGAACATTTCGAGATGCTCCTTATCAATTGAAAAAACATCTTTATTATACTTGTGTTCGGCCTGTACATGAGTGCGGCTCTGTCGTGTTTGATAGTTCGTACAAGTCACATTTAGAGCCATTTTAAACTTAGTACAGAGATTAACAGAAAGAATTACCACAAAATTGTCTCATATCAATGGTACTTACGATTGTCCAGTACGTGCAAGGTCATTCAAACCTCAGGGCATCATCGGCCATGTTAGATCATGCGCGAACAAGTGGTGCAAGAATAATGGTTTTTAAAGTGGAACGTACAATGTGACAACTATGGAATTGACGAAAAAGCTGGTCTATGTTACTTCAAATTTATGATGAGTGTCACTTAAACCAAGTTTTAGTAGCTCGGAGGTGTTAGTCTGAACCTGACTTTTCGTAGTATATGACCTACGACAAGCGAACTTTCAACAGCCACCAGATTGAACAATTTTGTACCGTCTTGATGCACCCAAAAGTTGTTTTTTTTTTGTTTCATCATAACCTTACTTTTGTGATCTTCACCATACATCCTCTGGGTATTGGTATCATTAGCTTTGTCTCATGTCTCCTCAAAATCTCTTTTTGATTCGTTAAATAAACGAAGAAAAATTGCCCGATTAAAATTCTTTTGGAAGTACGTAAAGGGAAGAACTACGCTGTCTCAAATCAACTTAGTTAAATTAACAAGAGGCAGAAGAACTTTTCGAAGAGGCAATTTACTTATGTTTTTAGTGCCTATAAACGGATGTTTTTGCCGAGAGCTATTCTGTACGAACACTGAAAGAATGAACTTATTACCTAACACAGTTGTGCTGAGCCCAATAGTCTTGAGCATTGCTAATAACATCGAACAGCACTTGTCTCAGTAATTTCTTATATTCTTATATTCTTATATCTTTATATTCTGTTTATTGTTTGTTTGTATTCTTTTGCTGCATTGAGATGTCCAGAAATGCTTGATACTATTCATCGAACATTTCGAGATGCTCCTTATCAATTGAAAAAACATCTTTATTATACTTGTGTTCGGCCTGTACATGAGTGCGGCTCTGTCGTGTTTGATAGTTCGTACAAGTCACATTTAGAGCCATTTTAAACTTAGTACAGAGATTAACAGAAAGAATTACCACAAAATTGTTGTGCTGAGCCCAATAGTCTTGAGCATTGCTAATAACATCGAACAGCACTTGTCTCAGTAATTTCTTATATTCTTATATCTTTATATTCTGTTTATTGTTTGTTTGTATTCTTTTGCTTGTGTTTTTCTTTTTTCTATTGTATGAATCAGTTATTTTCTTGTTAATCACCCTACTTCATATATCATTCGATAGAGAATTTCACGGGCTTCGAAATGAGCTACAAATAAGTCTTTCAAAAATATGCCCATACGGGTCAATAGTCGAAATACTTGGCCGATATAATGATTGTCATCTATCTTAGTGCTGTAAACAGTTATTCAGTCATTTTTCTGCCATAATTAATACTGTTTTGAATAGACCGAAGATTTTTCTATCAGATAAGGCCGTTTCATGAGACTGTCAGGAAAACCCGGGCGCTGAAAAACTAAGTCCTTGGTTTTTGGTCAGAAAGTTTTGTGCTGGTTCACGCAACGGCAGTCGATTTGCGCATGGTTACAAACGACGTGAAAATTACCAAAACATTCCGGTGGAAAAGCATTATAGTCAGTTGGGACAGGTCTTACTTTGCTCACAATTCTATGCTCTATCAGGCTATATGGTTTACAAAATAATCTGACTTTATGGGCTTTTATACGTGATGTTGCCCTATTTTTAACTCACCGTTTTCTGACCACATTATCTGATTAAAGATAAGTAAAATTTCTCTTTCTATCAATTAAACCATTACGTTGACTATAGTGCTGATGGAAGAAGTCAGCATAAGTGGTCGACCGACGACCACCAACGTTTGATTAAGATCTAATTAGAGGCACATTGTAATTCAGTTTTCTCAGCTTTGGAAGGAGCTAGAACAAAAAATTTTTTATCATTAAATAGGGAATTGTTTATACTATACACACCACTATTCAAAACAAAAAAATTCGCACCTATGATTTTTTCAGAAAACGCCGCCTAAATGCCCACTGTGCGGGATCTGGACAAAAATCACCAGCACTGTCGTCGGATACAACCTGAAAAACGAGAGGATGATATCCATCCGAATCCAAGGGACACCAACCAATTTAACGATAATTCAAATTTACGCACCGACTACCGACGCAGAGGAAGAAACCATCGAAAAGTTCTACGCAGAACTACAACAACTGATCGATGAAACACCCAGAAAAGACGCAATCCTCCTGATCGGAGATTGGAATGTAAAAGTTGGCCATAAAGAAGAACCTGGTGTAGTT